AAAAAATACAATAAAAAAAAAAAAAAAAAAACTGCACCAGATCCTGATGCAAGTGATATTGGACATTTTGTGAAACACTGGATCACCCTCAAACGTTCCTAACTTTAAAACTGCTGGAAAAATGAAATTACTTTCCTTTTGCCAGTAGGGCTTTTCCTGCAGCTGTCCCAGGGTTGGAGACACCGGGTGTTCTTTCCTGGGACCAGCTGGGTTCCAACACTGGCTCAGCCTTTAACGTGTTATGGGACCCTGCGCCGGGCTCTGTCTCTGGGCCTCTATTACCACGCCCACTACCACCAACTGTGTGTCCCCAAGGTAGTGACTGTCGCATTCTGAGTATCAGTTTCCCCATCTTGCGTCGGAAGTCAGCAGTTCCGACGCCCTACGAGCTTTAGCTTTCCAAACCCGTAGCTCCCGGCTGACCCAACACGACTCCTCCCTTCCTTCCCAAGGTGCTGTTCCGAAGCTGCCCTCACACGGACCGCCCCTTCCCAGCCACCGTCCAGCTCCGCTGCTCTTTAAGCCCCTGGGGGGGGCGGGGGGGGGGGGCGGTGCGGGCGGGGCGGGGGCGGTCCTAGAGGCCCCCTGCTGTGCCAGATGTTATTCCTCTGCTGCTGGATCTTGGAGGGCAGGGTAGTCCTGGTGAAGGACGGTGGGAGGCTTGGGCAGTAGCCCTTTGCTCCCCAGCATGAAAGTACTTCGATATGTGCACAGTGATAAGGCCGTTCCAGCCAGTGCTGGTATCAGCGCCGCCCCCAGTAGCCTCCACCACCGCTTTTTGCCAAGCCTCCGCCTTTGGCCTCTCCAAGGGTTCCCTTGCCATCCCTCCCCTCCCCCAAGAGAAAGTTGTCCTTTGGTAATTCCTGACCCTTTCTAAGGCTGCCCTTGAAACATAGTGCAGTTACTGAACTAGGACTCACAGAAAAAGACACAGTCCCAATTCTGCTTCTCTCTGCCTGTGCGCCCTGGATCAAGTCCACTCGTCTTTCTAAGTCTTGTTTTCCCATCTGTAAAATTGGCTAATATACTGCAGGGTGATGGTGTGTGTCAAATGACCACCTGCATGTAGCCACTTCTCAGATATCACTATTTTATTCCCATGGCGCCTGTATGAAAATGCTAAGGAAGACAAAATATAATGTATCCTCTCTCCATTCCTCTTGGGATGGTCTTGTTGTCAACTCTGAAGGACAAGAGAGTCCTCAACCCAGGACAAAGCCTGCCCCTGCCCGCGCTGGTGGTAGGAGAAAGAGTAACTTGAGGGCCCAGCATCATTCACAGCAATTATGCCACTATCACCACCAATCAGGGAGGACTTCCTGAAGGAAGAAACAGACCAGACCTTGGCTTGCCAAGGGGATGTGAGAGCCAGGAAGAACCTACAGGTAGGAAAAGGGGCTTTATGTTTACCCCACACATCCTAGGACCAGCTCAAGAGTTCAAATACTGGCTCCGTCCTACTTGCCCGCGGCATGACCTTGGCAGTTACTTAACCTCAGAGTCTCTGTTTCTCAGGAGTAAAGTAGGAGCAAAAAAATCTGCCTCATAGGGCGGTGGTGGTAAAGAGAAAGCAAGATAATGCGTGTAAAGCACTTAGCATGGTGCCTGGCATACAGCAGGTGCTCAATAAATGAGAGCTCTTAATGAAAGTATCCCCACCCCAGGTCACCCTGCAAAAGCTGAAGGTGGAGGAGTGCATGCAACAGAAGAGGGAGCTCCTGGCCCTGGATCAGGACCGGGACGGGCAGGCCCCAGGTCCCAGGCCCTCCACGCCTTTGGTGGAAGGCTCTGCGAGCAGCACAGAGGGAAGGTAAGACCTACAGGGCGTACAAGGCCTCCCGGAGGAGGGGGGCTGCAGGCAGGGAGGGAGGGCAGAGGAGCCCACAAGGTTGGGAAATGGTATTACAGCTTCTGGGGGGACTGGGACCAGACTGAGGAACCCAGGCTACAGGTTGACACCAGCCGTGCGAAAGGCCACATGAGACAGCCTATGGGGTTAATCAGCCTAGGGCTGGCACAGGGTGAAGGAAACAGGCATGAGAGGCACCAATTCCCTGAGATAATCAGGTTCCCCAGGCCAGGATGGAGAGTGAAGGCCGTATGGGTTTGCGGAATGTCAGAGCTGCAGGGACCCGGCTAGTTCAAATCCCCAGAGAGCGTGAGAGTGTCACCCAAAATAACACAGCTGTTGAGCAGCACGGTTATAGAGAAAGAAGGACTCCATCACTGGGGGATAACCTCAGGGGAGCTCAGGAAGCACTCTGCAAATACTTGATAACAAGTTTCTGGACTGAGCGCAGGGGCTAAAATGCCTTAAAGAGCTTACAGTCTAGCCAGTGAGATGAGAAAAACAATCAGTGCAGTGTAAAAGTGATACCAAAATAAGTTTGGAAGAGGGCCCATTTCTGGATGGAGAGATCAAGGGAGACTCCCTGGACTTGAACTTGACCCCTCAGCATCTGACTCTGACCATTTGCTAGTAACTGTAGGACTCCTGAGTCCTCGACCATCATCCCCCAGCTGGTGGTGACAGAAGACACTGATGAAGATGCTCCATCGGTACCAGATGATACCTCGGACTCTGGCTATGGCACTCTGGTCCCAGGCTCCCCCAAGGCGTCCCACTTCCTGCCAAACCGTCTATGCTCCAGGGCCCTTCGGCGGGACCCTCGCCGCACCTTCTCCACCCTGGACCTCCGAGATGTTCCTTTGCATCCCCAGCATCCTGACCCCCAAGCTCCCCAACGCCGAAGCGCCCCTGAACTGCCAGAGGCAAGTGTCCAGAAAGGAGGCAGCCTTCCCACGGGAGACCCACCGACCTCATCTGAGGAAGAAGACGGGACCTCAGTTGGAGAGAATGTGGTAGTGGAAACTTTACATAGGGCCCGACTTCGGGGTCAGCTCTCCCCCTCCCCGACCCACACCGACTCTGCTGGGGAAAGCCCCTGGGAATCCTCAGGGGACGAGGGAGAAGAGAGGCCCTTCCTGGGACCCGGCTACAGCCCCTCCCCTCCCCCGCTCCGGGCCGAGGACATGCTCCGAGAGATCCGGGAGGAACTGGCCAGCCAAAGGATTGAGAGCGTCCCCGATCCTGGGGACAGCAGACCTCGGAAGCTGACTCGGGTCCAACTGCAGAGGATGCGGGGGCTTCACGTCATACACCTGGACACGCCCCTGTCCACATCGTAAGTGCAGAAGGGAAGCTGGCGTGGGATGGAGCGGAGGGGAAGGCCAGTATGGAGCCAGAGGGGATGCCAGGGCAGGGGGGGCGTGGCGGGTCAACACAGGAGGGCAGGACCAGAGGGGGGTCATTGCGGGGAGGGGGCTTTAGCCTCACTCTTCACCCCATGTCTGCCTACCTGACACTTGCTTCTTGCCTTTGCAGAGAGGTGTGAGGGAATACCTCCCTAAGAGTGCTGGTCACCACCTCCACCCCTGGATTCTACCTCAAGGACACTTCCCCAGGCACCCTGCCCTTCCTGCTCTGAGGACTTTGGGGATCAAGAGCTGTACATTGATGTGTCACAGACACACCAGAGTCCCACATAAAGTTGTGCATAAAGATGGCCGTCCAACCAGCAGTAGATGAGGGCGGAGCAAAGAGAACCTGGCGGGTGAGGAGTCACAGACTGAGCACAGGTGACTCCTCCGTTAGTGGGCTGCACGAGGGTGAGGTATCCCCCCGCCCTCCCTCCTCCGCCAGGATCACGGCTATGGCTCCGCCTCCCACACGCACCGCGCAGAAAGGCCACTCCCTCCAGGAGCACAGCTTTAATTCCCGGCTTTTAGTGTATTTACAAAAGTCCACAGCTCCAGCGGGAGGGCCCTTTGTTCTGTGCCTCCCCTGCCTTGGGACACTTCGGCTTACTCTGTGCTTGTCCAGGCAGGGGGACAAAGGTTCTATTAGTGTACATAATGGAAGCAAAGGTCGCTTATCTACTGTGAAACAGGCTCAGGGACCAACCACGGGCCCCCAAGCAGCCTTGCTGGGTTCTCCAAGTCCAAAATGGGCAATGAGGCATGGCGCCCCTCATCCCCGCAGCCACCGCCTGGGCTCCTGGCACACTCAGCCTCTCTCACGAGTAACACACACTCCACATCACACACACACACTCTGACAAACACACTACACACAGCTCACCCGCTGGCAGTGCTCAGGCAGCTGAGAAAGGCTATATACACTGAGGGAGTAGCACCAGGTTAAGTGGCTGCCAGATCATGCCTGCTCCGCCAAGACCCTTCCCCTCCAGAAAAACGGGGGTCCACAGGGCATCTCCGGGTTCTTCCAGGCTGCCCGCGGCAGGAAGCAGCCGTCTCGGGGCTGCCCGCAGGGGCCGGGGCGTGGCCTCATCGGGGAAGGCGGGGCTCGGGCGCGATGGGGGCGGGGCCGCCCAGCGCTTCCTCGATGTCCTCCAGGCAGCCGAGCAGATCCATGTCGCGGAGCACGCGGCCCAGCAGCTCCAGCGTGGCCTCGCGCCGCGGGGTGCGCCGCCGCCAGGCCGCCAGCATGCTGTACTGCGCCTCGCGCAGGCAGCGCAAGTTCTGCAGCTCCAGCCGCTCGATTTCGTGATCACTCAGCCCCAGCCGCCGCACGAACTCCTTCCAGCGCGACGGGGGCACGCCGTCCACCACAGCGTACAGTGTCGCGGGGTCAGCTGCCGGGAGGCGGCGCGGTGAGCCCGGAGCGGCGGCCCTCCCCGCCCGGCCCACGCCCACTCGCCCCGGGCGCCCCGCCCACCCGCCTCCCCGGCCGGGGTTCCCTGCGAGGGTGAATGAGGAACTCACCATCTGCGGGCGGAGCGGGGGCGCTGGGGGCGCCGTGGGCGCTGGCCTCCCACTTCTGCGCAGGGGTGGGGACGGGGGTGGAGGCTGGAGGCGCAGGGAGGATGGGGCCAGCCCCTTGGTGGGGCGGGGCCATCTCTCTGGGGAGTGATGTGACTCTGAAGTTGGACCACGGCGAGTCACAAGGGGTGAAGGTGGGACTGGAGGCAGGACTGAAGCTCGGGATGGGACTGAAGCTTGGGGCCGGGGCCAGGGGCTCTGGCTCCCCCTGAGAGAGAGAGAAGGCACAGCATTAGCGGGGAAGAGGAAAAACAGCCCCAGCCCTCCTCCTTCTGGATTCCGGATGGGAGTTGGGGCTAGAGGGAATCAGGGGAGCCCCAGGACAAAGGATGATTCCGGGTGATTTGGATGTTACAAGATGACAATGGACAGTCAGGGAAGACTGCGGGTAGTTCCCCGGTTTCATCTTACCTCCTTTACAGGAGCCGCCTGCCCACAAACTGAGAAAAAAGAAACAAAGTGTTACAGATTTCACTTCCTCTCTCAACCCTGGCGCCCATCATGGGGCTGGCGGTGGGTACTTGTGGTGACATGCTTCAGGGCCTATGTGGCCCCAGGGACGAGAGAGCTACTGATGCAGTATGAGCTCTCACCAGCCGAGCTCTCACCAGCCGTCCAAGACCACCTCGTGCCAGTGGGGTCCTTGCCAGAGAACTAAGGGGACACTCTTCATCTCCCTCCGTGCCTGTGCATCCCTCCCTTCCTGCCTCCTCTGAAGCCTCCTCCTGCATTCCTACCAGCACCTTTCCCTTCCCAAAGGCCCAACTCACTGATGGAGTAGAGCTTGGGCTTCCACCGCTGGTATCGGCATGCTAAAACAATGAGGAGGAAGGATGCCAGGCAAAGACCAAAGATGATCACCAGGGGCAACAGTACTGTGGTGCCTGGAAACAGAGCAGATTGTGGTCAGAGGAGAGGGGCTCTGGAGGTAGCAGGGCGGGACGGATGGGGAGAGGCATGACTAGGAAAGGGTCCATGGGCATGGGCACCAGGATAATTCTCACCTGGGTCCTGAGAGTTGTTACTAGTTACAGGTAGAGCTGGACATAACTTCTCGCACTCCGTGTTCTTACAGCTAAAAGAAGAGAGAGCGCTGGTGAGCAGGGGCCCACCGTAAGAGGAATACAGGAAAAAAAGAAAAAGAAAAAAACCACACAGATTGTTGGAAATTCTTGCCTTTACAAATATTTTAGCTATCTCTTGATATAATGGAAATTAATCCTATCTTGGGAATTGATGCGGAGGAAAGAAACATTAGTTAATCCCCAAATCATTTCATTTTAGAGCTGGATTTGATCTTGAAGAAGCTATGTAGGGGGCTTCCCTGGTGGCGCAGTGGTTGAGAGTCCGCCTGCCGATGCGGGGGACACGGGTTCGTGCCCTGGTCTGGGAAGATCCCACATGCCGCGGAGCGGCTGGGCCCGTGAGCCATGGCCGCTGAGCCTGAGAGGCCACAACAGTGAGAGGCCCGCGTACCGCAAAAAAAAACAAAAAAAGAAAAAAAAAAGAAGCTATGTAGAAAAAGAGTTAAAAGCAGTCAGAGTCAGGTATAAATTCCAGCCCCATTCATTGGCTAGCAGTGTGACTCCAGGCAAATCACTTCACCTGTAAGCCTCAGTTTCCTCATCAGTAAAACAGGGACCCTACCCACTGTCAAGATTGAGTATTGAGATAATTATGCCTGACATATAGTAAGCCCTCGACAAATGCCGACTGTCATTGAATTGTTATTTTATCACTGTTTTACTGATGAGAATCCAGTGAAAAAAAGAGGTTAAAGAGCTTTTTCTCTAGATGACACTGCTGGTGACAACACCTAACTTTGAGAGAGGGGTCTAGCATGCATGTGAAAAATTAAAAAACACATCTTGCTGGGGGCAGCCAGAAAACACTCTAGAACAAGCGCATCTTCCCGTTTTGGAGCTGGCACTGGGCAGCATGGACTAATGAGAACTACATCAGGGGTCCTAGAAAGAACTCGAGGAGGTGAGTTCTCAGCAGGA